TGACAAGAGTACTGAAATCTACAGCGTTTTTGGTGATGGCCGCATTACGAGGAGAAGGAAAATTAAATCGAAGGCGCCTGTCTTGTCAGGCGGCATTTGGTAAGTTGAATGAACCCACTTTCCGAGCCTAATGCTAGTCTACAAATCATTTAGCCACACAATGTGTTGTTATTGTTCAGAAGTGTGGCGCCTGTCGCAGAATGTTGATGCAAACATCCATGTGATAATGTTTCGATCGGGGCTATTTGGCTAATTAGGGGAAATTGCAGAGATAATTTATCCCATACGAAATGGCCAGTCAAATCATGCACAGATTACAATACCAGACCTCCTTTGGTAAAGCCAAGGCCTTGTCCACGTGTACACTGGTATTAAACGTTTCTATGCATTTTGGTCCACATGTACACAGTGTTGTAGGTCACTGGAAAGGAACCTTTTGCAAAACTCCTTCCGGGGTAAAGATATTCAAAAACTCTGTTTTCAGTCTTGTTGTGTAGACAGAGAAAACTGAGTTTTTGGCTTGTGACATCGAGAGTATGTGCCGTTATCTCCTTTATTTACATGAGGTGATCTTGTGCAGTCGTGGACATAATAGTGCTGGTTTTAACATTGCTTACAGGACTTGTTACATGTTTACACATGTAAATGTACAATTACTCTTACACTATTTTGAAGAACAGAGGCATCAGAATGCACTACGGAGGTCAGTGTGAAATCCACCACACAGATCCCGCTGGATGGGACCTGGTCGGACCTCTAGGTGGTAGGACAACTTTAAAAACAAAGTGTTTTTCTCTGAAAAATGACAAGAATTTTTCTTTGTCAAACACATCGCTGTTGTCATCGATTGAGCTGCTTCGCCTGCACATTGAAGGCTTTACAGCGTGTTTTTGCATTTTCATGTGGACAGAGATTTTTTTTTAAAACAGTGCGTGTACGGACAGGTTCTTTTTTAGAAACGAAAGAAGAAATTTCCCCAGTTTTAAAAAAAAAAAATGTGTGCATTTGTGGACTAGGTCTAATCCAGCTCGAATAGGGCTTTACTCTGTCCTCCTTTTGAAACTTTGGCTTTCCTTGTTATTTCTATAATGTTGTGGTCACTACAGTCAGTGGGAACTGACAGCTTTAGAGCAGCATTTGGTTGCATTTTCAAAATATGTCCAGTACTTTAAGTTGTTCTTACACTGTCTCTGACCATCTAACTAACATCTTGCTCATCCATTCCAAATAATGACTGGTAGCAGTTGGTGGTTTGTAGATTTAGATAATGCAGATGAACTTTCAGTCACAGTATTTCAACATCACAGAATAACAGATTTCCACTGTACTTTGCAAGAATTTAGTTTTGAATATATACCGCTACACTACCAGCAACAACTGTTGCTTTCCTCTCTGTAGATGTCATGTCCCTGTGCTGCTACAAAGTTAGTATTTGCGTGACTTTCAGAAATAGATGATAAGTTAATATAATCTGTGTAATCAATACATTGGGAATTTTTTTTCAATGACAAATACTTTTCAGTTTTAATTAACAACCTCTGAGTAATTCTCATGAAGGTTTTTTTTTTTTCCACCTGAAAAGATTTTGTTCTTCTATAAAACAGCCTCTTTGTCCTTATTCCTACTGGTCTAGGTCTGCTACCATGATTAATGACAGTCTTTCAAAAACGCAGTTTTCATTAATCATGTTCCTGACTTCCTGACCAGTTCTTGTGTGGCAGCTCTGGAACACCATGCACTGTAACATTCATCAGTCTTTTTCTGAGAGAACTGCAGGCTGGTTGTTTATTAAATCTTTTGATATGTGACCTTAGACCTTAGCTGCTTTCCTGTTGCCTGTATCAGCTGTGTAGGAAAGTCTTTTTCTTTGTTCTGCACCTGCAATTATGCACCTGCACAAAAACATACTGTTGTTCCCAGCATTACCTCCCTTTTTAGAAGCCGTGCTGTTGGCATATTCTGTCTGATGGAGGTCAGTGATCCACCTAGGCCTCTTGGCTGGGTGCTACCTGCATTGTTAGACTCCTTGTAGCTGGCCAAACAACAGTATGTTTTGTTACTCACCGCTTACTCGACTTAAAGCTGTGCTTCTCTGCTGTTAAATGAAAGTTTTATGCTTGTATAGTTAAAAATCAGCAGTTATTCCATCCAAATTATTAGTAAAATTGCTGACATTTCATGAACAACTGCCTCCAGAACTTGAACTTGGCCCCCTGGATTTGATCGCGCCAATAGAGAGGTCTGCCTGAGCTGTCAAGTAAACTTGTGCCAGCACACATCAGAAGAGAAGCAATTGTGTCTAACCCCTAGCTCTGCTGTATTTTGGCTGTACGATTGTAGGCATTTAGGAGAGAGTGACATTAGCAATCCAAATCCTCTTGAGGAAAGTGACCTTTACCCTGCCACATGCTGGGAGTTCGACTGACAGTTTTGGCTTTGGTTTGAGCATCTTTCGGTTCATGTATTTTACTTAAATTAGCTTTCACTGTGCAGTTTGCCATTAAGTAGACCATTGTTTTGAGCCCAGCTTTGATTCAAATATGCCTCTGTTAAAGAAATGCCCAGTGTGAGAATATGGCAGTTGTCCAAGTATGAATCTCTACAGGCGAGATAGAAAAAGAGCCAAGAGCCCTGATGTCCATTGATCGGTCCTAGAGGTCTGCCAACAAGTGTGAAAGCCTTGTTTCTCTCTCTCTTTCATGCTCTCATTCTATCCAGTTGCTTTTAACATCTATTTGTATCTGTCCTTTTTTCCCAGTGTCTTCTGTCATCAACATAGGCTTGTGTGTTTCTTGCAGCTGTTGGTATAAATGAATTATTGATTTGTCCAAAAGTGCAACATTGCACAAACCCCTGCCTGTCACCCAGCTGAGCTCTAAATGACAGATGTTTTTAGAGGACTTTGATATGAGCTTTATTAGTTTTCTGCAAACAATTGAAGCAGTGTACTTGTATTGACTTGCTAGCATATTCCAGCTGAATTTCTTGACTCTTAATTTTATTCAATGGAGATTTTAGATATAGTCTGCACTGAACAAAATTAAGAGGTGGTATCTGATAAAAATTAAACTGCTGAGCTGATCATCTGCTGGTTTAGTGTAGCAATGGCATTATTGCTACTCCCATGTTTCCCTATTTGTGTGAAAGCCAGCCATTTCCCCTTTGGCAAGTCACTGTATTTTAACTGTCAGTCACTCTACTGGCATATAGTGACAAGCTACTCACTAACTACTAACTACTCAGCACTTCCCCTCTGAGCTGTGAATGCTGGGATCGTTTTGTCTTCTAAAGTCACAATTTCTTGAGAGAAGACTGGCTTAAATGTTTGTATAAGAACCCTCAATAGACTCTCTGTAACGTTTAAATGAAGTTTGGGATCCATCAGTGTTGATGTCATTTTGAAAAAAAGAACTACAGTTAGCAGATCTCAATTATTCAGTCAGTTCAGTTAGGATACCTGCTGAATGCTATTAGAAGTATTAAATGTAGCAGCAGTAATTCATTTAGAAAATGTAGGCTACCATTTGTCATGGTATGAAACAAACATAGCAAAAAAGAAATACAGCAAGAAAAAACAGAAACTCATCATGTTGGTCACTGTTTTATTTTGTCTCACCACTCTGGACTGAGTGTCCTGATTTTAGCATCCTTATTTCATTGCACCCCTGCAGTCAGATTGAGGGCTCAGACTGGTTTTAAGAGCTGAGATGGTTTCTGAGGCCACCAGGGGTTTCACGACATTATTGCATAGCCCTTAACCCAATCACGCCTCCATTTTCAGTTCTCCTCCCTTTTTTTGGTCTTTTTTCAGCATCTTTGCAGCTCTGACACAGTTTCTCAGCTCTGATGATTAAGAGTGCCATTGTCCTGTGGAGCTTCCTCCCTCCCTTCAAATTCACTGCTGGACCCCCTCTCTGAAGAAGATTGATCTTAGCATGGCAAGATAACTCATTATGCCCAGCCTGGAGAGATGGTGCTAAAAGATGTGACTAAGACCCCGAGAGGCCCAGGCCTCACTTCCCTTCCCCCCTCAGACACTCAAAGTCCCGAGAAACCTCCCAACGCAGGGGGCCCTGCCTCTAGCCTTCACCCCACTAATGAGAGACCCTTTTTTGCTGTTTGAAGGCAATTCTAAACCCTGCTGCATCATGTATCAAAGCGACGCCCATGGGTTTCTCTCCGTTATTACCACAATTATCCAGGGAAGACATACGGTATAACTGATATCTTCCCAGTTCACTGCTGCTTTGAGGGTTGTAGATAGATGAAACTTTGCATTTAATATATATATAATTTGTGGGCAAATTTGAGAAGTTTGCATTGTTCAAATATATAGGAATCAGCATAGTTTTCATAAATGATTAGTGACTGTGTAATAATATTCATTATGACAAAAAAAGTGATAATGTATGCACATTTAAAAGCCTTTAAAATTGCATTCTTGTCTGTGATTGGAATATGTTCAAATCTAGTTGTCCTGAGAGTGTGTGTGCATTTAAATTGATGGTCTAGCTTCACATGTGATCCACCTAAAACATTCAACATCATTCTTATCTGTCTTGTTAAACAAGCTTTTTGCACATATATTCAAACCTAACATTTATAAGTTCTGCCTACTCTGCACCAGCACTATAAAAGCGTGTTGTAAAAGCTAAAATATTGCACAAGGATGCAGAAACTACATTTGAAGAAGCTGAATGTAACCCATGTGTTGATTGGATGATGATCTGATTGCCGTGATCACATCAAGTAATGCCAAGTGTTTGTGCTGACAGGCCGGAATTATATATTGTAGTTGCCAGTTTAGTCTCCATTGGTAAAGTGTTCATAAAAACAAAAAGCTGCATCACCACATCTTTTCTTGCTGACTTTTAGTACATTAAGCAACCTCACTACAGCGACCTGCAAATGTGACACGTCATGTAGATTTTTGATTTTTGTGGTGAAAAGGTTTGTGTTTGAATTAAATGCTATTGATCACTATCCCTCTTTCTGTCTAGGATGGTGGTTTGCTGGTAAACAATCCAACAGCTCTGGCAATCCACGAGTGCCAGTGTCTGTGGCCAGGCTCCCCTCTTCAGTGTGTGGTCTCTCTCGGTACAGGACGCTTTGAGGCTCCCAGCAAGAACGCCTCCACCTACACCAGCCTGAAGACCAAACTGACCAACGTCATCAGCAGTGCTACAGACACAGAGGGTGGGTGGAGATGTGTTTGTGTGAAATTATAGTCTCTTCGTAAAATACTAAATGTGAAAGGAAAATCAAATAAGAATGGTAAGAAGAATAATAAATGAGGCCATTATTTGCTTTATTTATTATTTAATATTAATTTATTAAATAAATACATCACATTTCACATAATTATACAAAAGTGCCGTTATGTGAATATATCTTCAGTGCATCAAAATAAAATTTATGCCTCCCAAAGTCTAAAAATGGCATTGAGTGTGACCATATATGCAGAATAAGTAGGGTAATTCATTTATACAATTTTAAATGAAATATTTTGGCAAAATGTTATGTTTTGAAATCTTTAAAATCATAATGTCACAAAATATTAGCAAAATAAGTACTCAATGCCATGGCTGAGGCATATTCAGACAGACAGGGTTTCATAAGTCACAAACCTAATGGACCAATCTCGTCCACCGGTTGGGTGAGGCTTTCCTTAGCGTTAGCATTGTAATAAGGTAGAACGAGGTGTGTTAGTGTCAGGTGTAGCTATGTGCCGTGTTGTACAAGTTCCACATTTTTTTTTAAATGATGGAAGAGATGTGTTCTGTTTTGGGATGTTAAAGGACAAGGAGAGTTAAAGGAGAAAATTTGAGCTTCCATATGTTGCCAAAGAATCTGAAAATCAGAGAAAACAGGTAATCAGGTAAAAAAAAAAAAATCAGGTAATTTTTTTGTGTCCCAAAAAATTGTCCCAGCCAACTTCCTTTCAGGGGCTTCATTGATGGAGAGGGTCTTTAAATGTATTCAACTATGTGCAAAACTGTTGTCCATAGATTCTGATTTGCTGTCACACAGCACAGTCAACAACATAGAACTGTTATAATGACCATGCATTTAAGAACGAATGTGCAGTAGAGTGCTGCATCATAAAGAAGACCCCAAGGGAACTACATGGTGCAATCCCAAGGTCAGTTGTCCTTTCACAGATACTGAAAAAATGGTCTTTGTTGAGTCATGGTTAGGCTGGTTCAGTTTACCAAGTTAGGTGATGTGACCATAGGAAAATCATGAAAATGTGTTATTATTTTAATGATGTTTATTTATTTGACTAGAAATGTATTGGAGTTCAAGGGCAAAGGTTTATATGGATGTCAAAGTACAAACACCAGTGTATACAGGTTTTCAGTAGTGGTGAATAATTAAAAGATTTTGTGGGTTTTATTTATTGTTGTATGGTTGACATTTTCTGAATGGTAAAATTATCCTGGCTAAAACAAATGTAAACCATTACAAAAGATATGAAGCAAATATTAATACATAAAATCGATTATTATATAAAAATAGCTATCAAATCATTATTAATAAGATTTTTTTTATATCATTTTGAAAGCCTTATTTGTCATTGACCTAAATACTGTCAGGAACCTTCTCTTTGGCTATGAGTTAATTGAAGTGTGACTATGCTTTTACAGTTACATTCTGAAAAATCATATAGTGGTAAAGTCATCAAACCAAATTTACTTGTCAAGCCATGTAGTGTGTTACATTTACTTTCAGCTTTTTTGCTGTTTATTTTTTTAAATGAGCTTAGTAGCTTTGAAAGGGTGGATGAAAATCCCCTTGTGTGTTTCTTTTGATATGAATATTAATATGTGCACATATTGGTAGAGAATATGGAGGTGCTTTATGCTCAATTCTAAATGAGTCAGTAGGTTTACATCAGTCGACATGTCTAATGCTTGTGTGTGAGTGTGTGGATGTGGATGTGAGCGTGTAAGCATGCATGTGTGGGACACCACGCCTTCTCTCTGCCTTCCATTTGGGATTAAACAGGGCAGTGGTTTAATCATGGAGGTTATTTATAAATCTTGGATTAACAAATGCTCCAGCCTGGATTTCTCTCTCCCAGTCGAGAGAAAGCTGGCTATGCAGCGCTACACTCACAGACGCACCGCTGTGTGTTTATTGGTAATATAACTATATTTTTATGTACAAATAACCAAATATTACTGTAAAAAAGGAACCGTCAGGTAGATGGAACAACCATATAAGTTCTCCTGCAGCATTGACCACTTTGTTACATGGCACAAGAACAAAGAAATTCCACTTATACTCTTATACCCCAGTTTACTTGCTTAGAGATTAATTGCGGACAGTTTAAAATGCCATTGATGGTCATTTATTATATCCTGAAGTTCTGAAGCAATGAGATTGCTTAACTGCGCAAATGACTGTGAACAGTAATGCCAGTAAGAAAGGGCTGCTGGTCTGCAGGTTAAATCATCAGGCTGTCACAGATGGCCCATTTATAATGAGATTAGTGACCCTTGAAGTAAAGTGAGAAATATTGGGTAGGGTATTTAAAAGAGCTGCTTCCTTTACTTTATTACTGAAATTCTTGCTGGGGTAAATGCATTGTGGTATACTACAGTCTGAGTCAGTGCTAAATGTGTTGTCTCTCTTTGTGTATCTTACTCTATGAAATACAGACTTGTGTGGTGTCTGTTGCACAAAATGCAATTTATATTTAAATTTTGAGACATGAATTTTGTAGTTGCTGAACTCTTTGAACCATGATTTGTAGGTAGACTTTCTCACCTGTAAATGTTTGTCCTATGGGGAATTTGTAGATGTACAGTACTGTTCAAAAGTCACAGACCACTTTTCTCTTATTTTATAGTCAAAACAGCCATAAAATTTGTTTAAAGTTGTTCATTTTCAGTCTCATTTTTTATTTTTTCTGCCTCTTATGACCAAATACTATCAAACACATTCAGTGATGTTGGGGTCTGGGCCTTTTCTTAGAGACTGCTTCTTGACAGCTACACATCCTTTCAGATAGTGTTGAGTTGTGTTCTCACAGTAAAAATATGGACAGAAACACCTGTGGATTTTTTCTAGATCTGAAGCATGGTGTGAAGCTTTTCCTTTCTCTCTAACATGAAAACTTTAAGTTCTGTTTATCTGCTGGTGTCAGTTTTGCTGGTGTACCAGGTCTTGTATGGTTGGAGTCTCATTTTCTTTGTATCTTTTTAATCATTTTTTTCAACTTTTTGAAATTTTCTGATTTTTCACTTGGATTCCTTTCCCCTTTGTAATGTATGGTGCAACTTTCCATTCATTACTGTAGTATGGGTAGTTTAGTAGCTACACTGTATTATGCAACAATTTGCAATACATATACACGCATATATACATTTTTATCATTCTCTATTACCCAGTTAGGGAGCTGGTTTGTCCTCATAACTTTGGGTACAGGGAATGCCTTAATCCCAAAACACTGGAAATAGAACATAATTTTACAGTAATAGTTGTCATAATTTAAAATCAGTTTATCATGGAGGATTGGATTCCTGTCATATGGGAGTTTTATTTATTCACTAAAAGTGTGAAAGGGCTTGTACTGAGAATTTAGAATAAGATGCTATGTAAATAATTTGAAACAGAATTTGAAAGGATGCCTTTTTTTGACCTTGATTTTGTTTTGTTGTGATTTAAAAAAAAAAAGAAAATTGTTCAAATTTGTTAAAATAGATGTAAAACTAGTGTGACCTACATGAACTACTGCAGAAAAGGAAAAAAAGTTATCCTATCCCACTTAGTCATCTTCTCGTTCCGTCTGTTTCTTTTCCACTGCTCTTTTCTCTTTTGCTTCTTCTCTCACTCTCTCAGAGGTGCACACCATGCTGGATGCCCTGCTGCCTCCCCACACGTATTTCCGCTTTAACCCATACATGAGTGAGGATGTGGCTCTGGATGAGAGCCGCAGTGAGAAACTGAACCAGCTGCAAGCAGAGGGGGTTCGTTATCTGGAGCGCAACGAGGAGAAGCTGCAGCGAGCTGTCCGCACACTCATGCGGGAGAAAAGCTCGACTCAGAGTCTGATTGAGTGGGTCCGCCTCAAAGCACACATGTATGATGGCCTTTCAGGCTTTTCAAAAGTGTAGGGATGCGTGGCTGCTGTTTCCACAATCAAGGCACATGCCTCAGAGCTTACATTTATTGATAAAGCATGTTCTGATAACACTTCCTCTAGGGTCGTACGTTGCTGTGCTAGAGGATTAGAATAGTGTCCTGCGCACAAACATTGAAATTCCCAAACTCTAAAATTCGGAGAGGCACTGGAGTAAGAATTACAGTTCTTTGTAGGACAGGCGATGCATTATCAATCCTCACACTTATAACAGAATCCCCCAGGTTACATGTAATACTTTAGTTTTGTTTGTTAGGTTATGTAGACCATAGGGCTCCTAAATGGTTTAGAAATATTATTTCTAAGGAATTTAGAACATCAACGTTTGGTCTATTTTTGTAGCTTTTTAAAAATAAATTTCATGATAGGCAAAAGACTTTCTGCAAAACAGCTTTAGAAACAGGAGTATTTATGATGATAACTCAGTAACACTAATGTAAGGACTGGCCAGTTTTTAAGGATCTTTCAATGATTTTTAAACACAGAACTTCTAATATATGGTAACAGCTTCATCTGAAAGCTTCTACAGAATAACCGGTAGCGGTTAATTTCACTTCACACTGAATTCATCTGAAGTGAACTTCAACCTTTAATTTGCGAACCTCATAAACATGACCCACTAGAAAACAAGCAGGCAGCCTGTTTTATTTTCTGTCCAGAGAAGAAAAAAAATGAAATGGAGAAACTGCTCCTTGGTCAACATAATGTTGCTTATCACACAAAAACAAATTAGTTAACCAGCAAATGTTAGCTGTTCACTGAAATGTACATTCTGTACAAAACCACATCACATCAGAACTGCCCATGCTTGCCTAAGTTTTGCTCCACTCCAGCGAAGAAAATAGTCAAGCAATAGTTTGGTGTGACTGTGGTTTAAGAGTTACGTCCGGATTGTAGGAATATACTAGTTCCACTTACTGGCCCTTCTTCATCAGCATATGGACAAAACTGATTGTAAAATGAGCACATGCAAATTTCACAAACAGTCGTGCTATTCATCATTTTCATCTTTGCTGTATCTGTACGATCAGACACACATTGATAGGGGTGTGTGTAAATTTGAGCGTTAAAGAAATAAATGCTTGATCTGTGGTTAACTAACTAAAACTATTATCAATATCAGCTATAATACCAATCAAAACATACCAAAAAAATAGAAAGTAACAATAATACTCTTAATTTGTGCACATAGAAATCCAGTACTGCACTTAAAAATAAAAAATCTAAAACACAGCTAGTGCAGAAGCATCTCATACACTGCAATAATATAGTGTACAAGTATTTTATTTTAGGAAAATAAATCACACTACACAATCACACCATTCCACCATCTTACAACCAACTATTTTGTTTATTTCACCTTTTATTCTTTTCAGTCATTTTAACACTATAGAGTTTGGTCAGGGGTGGGGGGTGGAGAGGGTTTGTGCACTCATTGGCCTGTGAGCTGCTGAATGCTGTTGTTTTATTTGTTACTTACCAGAACATCTGCATGAATTGTGCATGCTTTATGTAAATGATATGTAAATGAGCTATTTGTAGGCTGGCACTTGATTTCACGCACTGAAGCTGATTCATCATTTGTTTCTATGTTCTACGAAAGTTTCATGAATCAGACGCAGAGTAACTCATCTGTCATTAAAAGCAGACAAATCTGCACTTTTTTTTTTTTAACCGATGTTCGATAAATAAGGGCAAGAGTCTCTACTAAATAAGGGCAAGTATCTCTACAGTGTACACTTTAGAGCAGGGGTGCACAGCTCCAGTCTTGAAGTGCCAGTGTTCTGCACAGTTAGGTAGTTTCGCTTCTCAAATACCCCCACTAAACCTGCCAATTAACAGAGGAGTTGAAACAGGTGTGTTTGAATCAGAGTTGTGCACCCCTGCTATAGAGTTTACAATGTAAGCCACACTTTTACGCTGTATTACCCAGGTAGGGGACTGGTTTGTCCCCATAACATTGGTCACAGTGAATGCCCAAATAATCTCAAAAAATACTAGAAAGAGAAACTTGTGAATTTTAGTTTGATTGCTGTCATCATTTAAAGAATATGAAAGTGATTAAGAAGTGTATGTTTGATGAGAGTTTTAAAAAAAAGCATCACTGTTGCATAAAAAGCTTGCATGCTTTCAAGTAGAGATGCATAAAACATAATTTAATAAGCTTGTATTTGCACAAAAAATATAACTGAGTGTGCACCAGTTCTCCTTCAGAAGGGATTTAATAAAAGTAATCTCAGAAGAAAAGCTTGCTTTTATACTTGCAAGCGTTGTACCATGTATATTCGCTTGTATTTAAAATACTACAGTTGACTTTAAGTTTAATTGCACACATTTTGCAGCTAAACATGTAATGATCATTCTTATAATTATTAACAATGACGCAAAAGACAAGAAGTCTCAGGTGATGGAAGAGCTACCTGAATGCGCTTTGTCAGGTACATGTGTTTATCTTCTTTGACAGTAAACGTCTATTTATTTTATGTTTATATATTTTCTGTTTTACTTTGTGTATACTTCTACTTCTTTTAAGTTTTGAACAGGAAGCATTTATGACCGAAGCCGGGACATCACTTTACATGGCAAAATCTGTTTCAGTGCATTTTACACAACCAGAGCAACCTCACATTTATTAACATTTACTGAGCTTGAGTAATTTGTTTACTGTTCTGTGGTGAGTGACCTGGTCTACCATCGGTCATCTCTTATCTGCCTCCAATTTGTGCAGATGTGAAAACAATACATATTAGATTGGGCACACATGTATGCGTACACTTATTTAAAGTATGTCAGAATCATGGCTTTATTTGACTGCCTCACAGAGAGTGTCACCTCCTATTCTTTCATGTTAGAACTTTTGTTTGGCTGAAGCTTTTTTGTCTGCTCTCTTTTTGAGATTGAACATTTTTAATACAAAGACAAACTGTTTCAATGCAATTATGCAAAATAGGATGTTACTCATAGCAGTAGAAGAACTTGAAGGGACACCCCGGGTTGAGAACTACGCACTTCTGTTTGAAAATGCAACTTTAATTCTACCTGCCATGTTACATTTAAATGTTGCACCCTGGCTTCATTAGGTGTTCATAGATTATGTGTTTCGGAAGCTGGTTTGAAAGCTAAGAGGGCTGCATTTGCCATACTGTAGAAGGTTAATATAGATCATTTGGTAGTGTGCTAGGTCAGTTGGCCATTGACTAGGTGTGAGGTGTGATCACGGAAGGGAAGTAAAGCACTGAAAATGTTAGACAAAGTAGAAGCCTGCAGTGTTGATTTGATATATAATAGGACTGAAACATGAACATGAAGTAAAGCTTCATCCTTCTGTAGTGGTCTCTAATAGCTAATTCTAGATGCACATAGAGCATTATTACAACAAAAGGAATTTACATGCATAGCGGTATTTCAGTTTTAGTTTAGATGTTTTTGAGGGCACAATTGTAAAGGCATATGTAATTAATGTTATATATAAATATTTAATACTGAAAAAAAAGCCTGTGGATTGTAAAACAATACCTTGTACGTTTTGTCTGGTGTCTTTTTATGTCCTTTTAAAAGTGATGCCATTATTCTTTTTTGTCAGTCACTGATGCAGTTCTCACCTTTTGGTTTTCCTACTCCACTGTGTGCCATAGTTCTCCTGCCTCTCTCTGTGCACTGGCGTGTGTTTGCTGTGTTCCTTATTCACCCATGTTCCAGTGCCTGAAAGAAGTTATGACTGCTGCTCATTTTCTTGGAATGATCTTCTGGTCTTATTTATAGAGCATCTCACAACAGAAATATAAATCTAATGTCAGATTGCTGATGTCTGTATCAGCTTAAGTAAAAAGTGATACTAAGCTTGATACCTGCCTGAAACTGTTCTAATACCTTGGAGATGCCTTATGAATAAGACTTGTTTGTGGGAAGAAAAATTCAGGAATGTCAAAACAGTACTGTTATCGTGTGGCGTCTTCTAGTTAGAAGTGAAAAAACATAACTGTAAAACATTGAAGTTTGATTTAGTTTTATTTTCCAGATTGTTTTTACCCTACAGCCTGCTGGTCATGAGGAAAGAGTGATATGTAATAAAAATGTATTTCAACCTATCTGTGTTAGGTTTCATTATTTGTATCACGCTTAAAAATACCAAAAGGGTTCTTTGAAATGATGCCTCGTAACAGTGGTCACTACCTCTGGTCCTGACAATCTACATTCCTGTAGAGTCTAGTTCCAACCACAATCTGCCATACCTGATCAGGCTAATTAACTTCTTCAGAAGTTTTTACTGGCTGGATCAGGTGCATTAATGTTAGGTAAAGGGGTGGAGGACTAAACTCTAAAGGAATGTAGATCTTCAGCATGAGGGTTGGTGACCACTGCTTTAGAAGACCCACTTTCAGTTTCCTAAAGAAGCTTTCAGTAGATGTTTTTTACACTTTTAATCATTTTAACCATTTCAGTGAATGAGATGTGTAAATGTGAAGAACCTTTCTAAGGTTTAAAGAACTTACATATAATGTACAAGTAATATACCAATTAAAGGTTTTTCCTAGAACCGTACAAAAACCATTAAGGAACATTTTCTTGGAATGCAGTTTAACTCAAGGTTTAGCAAATATGCTCCAGAATCAAAACAAGAACATCTAAATTTGTAGAGGTGATTGATTTATTAGTTCCTTTTTTCCAGATTTATACTGCCTTTTGAAATAATGTTTCATATTTTAGCAGGGGTGGAAAAGGTAGAGAAACTAAGAATTCAATCAGTGATTCAGAGTGGTTTGATGTAGGGAAACTTAAACTCAGATTTCTGAACAGCAGCTTTGATAGGAACCAGAATTTGTAATGACAGCGATGCAAACACAGCCATTTTATTAACTATACAAAACCACCAGTGAACTTCTTGTGTCTTTTGAGTTTTTTTAAATGCAATATTGATGATGGTAAGTATGAAAAAATAAAGTTTCTTCAGGTGCTGTTTTACTTCACCCTGTTTGCCTTATTTAGATTTTTTGAAAAGAGATAAAAAGACAATATAACTCAAAACAAAAGAATTGTAATAATAAAATAGCCCACAATGAAGAAGAGCCAAAAAGGCTGTCAAAGTTCAAGAACTGTACACACATTAACCCATGCCAAAAAAAAGACAAAAGACAGTAATCAATAAAACATAAATGATAAGTATAACAGTCTTGACAGTTTGAAGAAGCCAAATTACCAAGGTACGACCCAAGGTTCCATCAAATGCCTTACACCTGTCTCATAGTTTATAGACCGAAGAATAGATCTTTAATTTCTCTTTGGAGTAATGTAATCTGTGAATGATCTTGAATTAATTGCAGTCTTGCATTAAGCCTTCCTCCCACGCTTCATCAGTAGATCCGTCTCCCAGGCAGATTTAAAGGGAGCAGAGAGTGCTGTGTAGTAGCTGGAGAATACAGTAACACATTGAGAGACTAAGTGTTTTTAAATTGAATGCTCTTGAGGCTGAAACTTGGCTATATTATTTAATTTCTCTAAGTTGAAGGAATAGGAGGAAATGAAGTTGAAAAAGGTTAAACCTTGCATTCAACTGTGAAAATGAAACAAAATGCTGGTTGATATGTACGTTTTTATATAAGATTTTAAACACTTTTGCCACCATGCAGAAAAGAACATATCGATCACACCTGGAACAAAGCTGTGATTGTGGCAGTGAGGGTAATGCAAAGTTACATCAGGGACTTTAAGAAGCATTTTCATTTGTTTGAATATTTTCAAAGAGTTGTACAAAGTAAAACGGTGGTATAGGAGCTTGTTTGAGACTTCTGTTCTAGAAAACAAAGCAGCACTGAGGGAGCTATTCTGCACTGCCTGTGCCTCCATGTAGCTCCATTTTGGAATATTAACAATTTCTCTAGCAGGAAAACAATCCATCATGGTTCTGTCTTTGGCAGCCCAGTAGTAGTGCTGCATAACTGGTAAGGCTAGAACTCAATGTGCTTTGAGTTTCTGCAAGTGAGACTTGGCAATACGGTGAGCTTTGTAACCCCAGATGAAATTGCAAGATGAATGTGTTTTTTTTTTATAAATACATTTTAGGCCACAAATGTATCTCAAATCTATATTAAAACAGTGCCAGACATCAGGCAGTGTATTCATCACCATGTCATGAAATAACTTAATGTGAGGGAGGCTTTAGAGATATTAAACACTTCAGAAGTCTGGTTCCTATCACCACTACTCTCAGAAAAAAAGGTACAAAACTATCACTGGGGTGGTACGCTCAAGGGTACGTCTCAGTGCCATTAGTCAGGGAACATAATTGTACCATAATCCATTGAAATGATATTTTCTAGGTTGTATTGACTCCACACACCCCTGTCTAGTCTCCAAGCTTTCTTTTTATTTTATTGTTCTGTTTTAAAACATTAGGTTATGAAATGGTACAAACACATACTTTTCACCTGGGAAAAAACATATTTAAGGTACACAGTTTGACCTTAAACCACTGTTGTACCTTTGAGGGTACATTTACATTGTTTGTACATTGATGAACGAAAAATGTACTTTTATTTCTAACAGTGTACTGTGAACTCTGAATGACTTTACATCTTAACCTATTAATTATGCAGAAATAAAAAAAGGTGGAATTTCCCTTTCAATGAAAATCTGGGTTACACTTAAAAGGGGATATATAGAGCCAGACAAAGAAGTATATAAAAATAAAAATAATGTTTTAACAAAAATAAAATGTTTTGGCAAATGGTATGGCAGTGATAAATGGGCAGTACTGGTCATTGCACAAATTAACATTTGTAGGAAGTTTAATTTTCATATTTAATAAGAGAATTAAATTAAAAATTTAAAGATTGTCAAGGAAAATTCACATCCTATGAGATTTGTAAGTTGGACTTGGAAGTTCTAAATTAAAAAAGTAAGAAATGGAAAGTATGTTTTTTTCTCGTAATTGAGTAGAAGTACTCAATGTCAATAATGAGTAAAGTACAAATCTTCCAAATTAATGCTGAAGTACAATAAAGAAATTCAACCCCTGGTTCATGCAGCACTGTATGTGAGTTATATCTCACCCTGAACTTGTAGAAGGTATGTTTTTGTGTTTGAAGGCATGTAGGAAGAGCTGTATAAGTCCAGTTCTAGCTATTTGACAGCTCTAAAGAAAAGTGTTACAAATGAGGTCTTTTATGATCTGATTTGTTCCAGTGTGTGTGGTTGTGTCTGAGTGTGTGTGTGTGTTAGGAGGCTATTGTGTTATAGGAAATATATTGTTAATAAACCCACCTGAGCAGTGGTCTCCTCTCAGATGTGAGACTAGCATATCTATAGTGTGACAGCTCCCATATACTTAAGACAGACTGCCTAGTCAGAGCAAACACAGCTGCCTGTGCTGTAGCTTAACCCTGCAAGCAGCTTTGCTCAACAGTTTTACTCACAGGAACTGTCTGCCCTCCCTGCAGTTTGGGTTCAGCTCCTCTCTGAAGATGATTGAAGCTGTGTGTATTTGTCTGATAGAGGTTTTATTTGCTCAGGCTGGTCAGAGCCTTCAGCTTGCCTGTTAATGCGCTGGAATCCCAGTCCAGACTTTTCCAAGATCGAGTCTTGCTCACTCACACTTATCATACCACATGGTCTGAGCTTGAGAAATGAAGGAGGTTTCATTGTGTCACAGACACTGTTATGCAGCCGTATGATGAAGTTTGAACACTCCCATTCAAATGGTATGTTTTTTTTTTTTGTAAGTGAGATAAGTTAACACTTCCTCTACAAATAATGAACTTAAATATGACATTTTTCTGCAACTTTTAGTGCACAATTTCTCTTTATTTGCTGAGTTTAACATTAAAGGTGCAGTGTGTAAGATTTAGTGGCATCTAGCGGTGAGTTTGCAGATTGCAACCAACTCCCTCACCCCTCCCTTTCCAAGTGTGTAGTACAACCTATGGTGGCTGTCAAGTGCTAAACCTATCAAACAACAAATTGCTTTTAAATTGGCATTTTAAATAACCTGTCCAGCAGGAAACAGGCAATTTTGGTGTCACTCTGAAAACATTTGTCCCTCATCAGCGATTTCCATCAGGGAAAGGCCACACCTATGTTTATCGTTGTTTTCTGCCATTGCCTGTCCTGATTTTGTTTTGCTTCCTTATGTTTTTGCTTCTTTGACAATGAGGTTTCACCCTCCCTTGCTTTTTCTTTTGCTAAATAATAAGTATAATCCTCCATTTGTCAAAATTTGGGTTCTCAAACTTCTCACAACACAAAATGGTTAGCCACCAGCAGCAGCAACTGCTGATTCTTCTTTATATGTCTTCCAACCAGTGCTATAGCGCCACCAAAAACAAAGCTGCTGGTATAATGTAAAAATGTGAAAAGCACTCTCTAGAGCCAGTGTTTAGTTTGTCTGTTCTGGGCTACAGTAGTAACATGGTGACGCAACTCTATTAAGTACTACAATTGCAACTGAGCGTGAGTAAAACTAACGAGCATGGTAGATCAAACAGCCTGCTTACATTCAAGCTAAACCAGTTAGATGCTGCTAAGGACTAAGTTAACAGTTTACACTGCTGAATACCCTTTCTGTAACAGTGTGGAATGGCAACTCAGTTGCATGAAAATTATAGGCTATGTACTGCCTAGTGTCTCTGAGATGATACTTATGTATGATACTTGCTGAAAATACTCAAGGACCCTGAGCATCACCATGAATCAGCCTTCATTTATTTAATATCCCGTAAAAATGGTCATTGAGATAATCCACTTGCATAAAAAAGGGGAAAGACAAAGGAAAACAGCTGAAGTTACAGGAGTTTACACAACCAGAGTTTAAAAAAATTACCAAAGGAAACACAGAAAATGGGACTCTTAACAATCATGCAGGAACTGGTAGACCACCAAAACTGTCACCATCAGATAAACAGTACTTTGTGAGTTTGGATCTTGCCTTCACCTGATGGTGGTAGTACGAGTGGAGACTGTGAATGAGGGAGGGGACAAAACTCTGAGGGAACCTGGGCAGATTCTCCTTGGAGTTAGAAGGCTAGAAGGCCCTTTTGAATGGTGATAGATAGAACTGAGGAACAGGGATGAGAAGGGCTGGTGTTGGGGAGTC